GGTACCTCTATAATCTAAAAAAGAATTCAAATCGTTTAGTCCAGTTTTAAAAAAGTCATCGCTGAGTAACTGTATCCATGGGATAGATCACATATTTTGAAAGTTTATCCACTATTTAAATTTTTAGATTCTTATCTAAATTCTTATCTTATTCCTTTATGCTCGTATTATATTTAAACACGGACTATTATCAAAGGAAAAACGTTCAATGCATTTTTGTGTATTATGCTTGATATACGAATTACTAGGAAATATTTATTAATTAAACTTAACATTCACAAAGTGTACATATAATTTCTCACAAGACTTGAAGATTATTTTACTATGACTTTGACGAATAGTAAATAATTGAAATCACGCGAATGATCCTGCGTCCCTTATAAAATTATTACAGCACGAAATGTCTACACAAAGGATTAATTATACTGTATATGTAGAACACTTGTGGCAAACAAAATTTCAATTAATTGTCGCTCCAGTATGTCACATAATCCAGGGTATTAAATATTATTAATGCACAAATACTAATTATTAAATAACATATTAAACTGCAAGCCTGTTGGGGCAAATATTTTCACTCGTTCACGTGGGTATATGTGTGACAAGATAAATGTTTATATTTGACGAACAGCTGCGTACAGGTACTTTAACATTAATATTTACGATATTAACACAGCGTATTCAGAGTAAATTCAGTAACAGCGAATTTTACCGGCAACGAATGTCGTCTATTACGACCTTAAATTAATTACGTACTTTATCGGTATGTGTGTAATTACGTTCATATATTTTATTAAAATTCTCCCGTAGGTAAATTACAAAAACTATTCTCATTGAAATGCTGCTGTCGACTATGTTTTCATGGAGAGTTATTTTGTTGTTTTAGATTGCATTTTAGATCGTATTCATTTGTATATATAATTGTATATACAGTAATTATACTCTAATAATCGTAAATGGCGTGTATATTTAACGAATAACTTTTTCAATACTGGATCAAGCGACGAATTTTTTAGGATATGGGACTGATTTATTAGACCATGTCTCAAAACATTTTTGCAATGACTGCAATTGGTTGGAATGAAAAAAATAGGAATAATTATGTTTTCCTACCTTTGATTTGAGAATTCTTGCTCTTTTTATTTGAGCATTCAACAAAAATTTAAACAATGCATTTTGTACATCTATATGCATGCTAAAAATTTTATTTTTCCTATAATAATTAATCATTGACGAGAATAAGCTAACTATCGCAATTGAAAGTATTAAAAAAGTGAGTAAGATTAAATAAATAAAGCAATTAGAAGAGAAGAAGAGAAAATTAAATTTTAATTAGGTCTATACAGAGTGTCCCATAATTATGTTAACATCCTCGCCTCTCATTGATCAGTGTTTTTCATAATAATTTAATAATTCATAAACAAAGCAGTTTCGCTAAGGAAAAAGTAACTTCAAATGACCTCAGGAATCACCCCTTTCCGGGTGTTAACACAATTATGGGACACCCTGTATATTCAGTCTACAGCAGGGCTCGGAATTAACCAGCACGCAACGCGAGGATCGCGAGGGCTACGCCTCTTGACTCCCGTCGCGCGTCTCGCTCCCGG